TTTAGCTTTGTATTTCACATTCCGACCGGACAATTGAGAGAGTAATTACCTGCATAACAAATTCTAAAGAATGTTAGTTTAATAGATAAAATTTATATTCTCTGTAAATGACATGTGCACAGCAATTGCTATCATCGAGAGAGTATCTTTAGACGACTTGAAGGGTAGTTGGTTTATATTCGAAAAATAGTTTATTATAATCTTCAGTTGTGAAGAGTCACGGTTAGTTTTAATTTCTGTAAAGTTTGTATAAATAATATAAGGATTTAGTGTAAAGGTTTTCTTAACGCCGTAATGTTAAAAGAGTTTTTAAAGTTTAATTCAGTGTGTTTTATTAAGCCAACTAATGACATCAATTTAGTTATGTGAGAAACGGGTATTTTTGAAGATTCTACACAATATAAGTAGAATAATTTATTTATTTTTAATATAGTTTATTACATAGAAATATTCCGAGCGGTATTATGTAATTATAATAATAAAGATTACTATACATAATTCGTTATTATAAAAGTTGAATGCAAAGTAGGTAATCGCGAAACAAATTAACATATTACTTGCTTTAAGGTTTAACTTTATAGTGCCCTGAGTTAATAAGCTCTTAATTCCTGTAGTTGAGCAATATTTACTAGGTAAACCCACAATCTTTGTTTTAATATTTAATTTTAATACTGTAGGTACCTACAGATTAAATTTTAATTAATTAAAATTTCCATATTTTTTTAAAGTTAATCATTTTCACTAATCATCAAAAGATTAATAATGTTTTGCATTTAAATAGATTTCCCACTCTTCAACACATTACTAAAATTAATATTCCTAAAATGTCAAGTATCATGAAGTAGACCGATCAAAATTAGATATTATTACGGTCAATCTGTTATTAGGAGGAAAATGAAAGGCATAGGAAGGAAGAAGAGGAAGCAAAGTAAAGGCGTAGGAAGGAGGAAGAGGAGGAAAAGCAAAGGCGTAGGAAGGAAGAAAAGAATGAAAGGCGTAGTGAGGAAAGAAGAGTAGGAGAAGGAAAGGTGTCTAAAGGACGAGGAAAAAGAGAAGGAAGAGAGGCGTAGAAAAGCTGAGGTAGAAATTATAAATGGTTTGCTGCAAATTCAAGAAAACCTTAAGAAAGAGGTAGGTCAACTTAACAGTCGTATAGATCTCTTAGCACAAGGGAATTTAAAAACTAATTTAAAACAACAAGGAACGGCTAGAGTAAATTATAACTGAACTAGTTGAGTTAGAAAGAAGAATTCATAGCCTAGCTTTGATAAGCAACAGAGAAACTGAAAACACTACCTCGTCCTCATCTATAATCGAACCAAGCCATATTCAAAACCCATTTTCACAAATCCATACTAGCAAGATTATTAAGTCACCCACGTTTGACCGTCAGACAACATGGGAAACGTATCGACTCCATTTTGAAGTCGGTTATTTAAATTTTTAATTTCTAATACTTGTTAACCGACTTCAAAAAAGAAGGAGGTTCTCAATTCGTCGCAATTATGTATGTTCAGCGATAATTCTTTAACGCGGTGTCCGATTTCAATGATTATTTTTTTGTTAGAAAGGGGGTACTTCAGGGGTGGTCCCATATAAATTTGGTCAAAATCTAATAATTGGGTCCATGAGAAATATTCTCAAACTCTTCATTTTTTATGTATCTTTAGCGATAATGCTTTACCACCTTGTTCGATTTATATGAGTCTTTTTTTTGTTAGTAAGGGGGTACCTCAGGGGTGGTATATAAATTTGGTTAAGATGTGGTGATGGCATCTGCACGTTTTTGAAGTCGGTTTTTTAAAATTTTTAATAAACCAAACTACTCACATATTCTTTATTTATTGATACTTATAGATGATATATATTTGAAATTCGAAATAATAGTTATGACGTGGCGGTGTTCTCCTTATTGTAATCCGATTCTACTGGCCGTTGCATTGGTGGGAATTGCCTTCATCACGAATAGAAATTATTTTTAAATTAATTACCTTTCGAATTACTTTGCGAGTAGTTTAAAAATTCGCTCCGATAAACTTGATTTTTCCTAAAAAAACCATCCGAGGTATAGTACGAGCAAGATATGTAGTTTGACTTTAAAGCTTTAAAGCCAGTCGGCAACGTACAAAAAAAGCTATAAGGAGACTGATACATCATCACCTTTAAATTAGTAGAGGAACATTCAAGAAATTTAGTATACTTATTTTATTTTTACTTTGCTCGATAAAAGGGGAGTATTGTAATGGTGAAAATTTAGATATTCACGTTTTCGGGTCCCTAGATTACGAAAAACATGTTTTCCTCATTCCGTCGGTCTGTCTGCCGTCCGCCATCTGTTGTCTGCCGTCGGTCTGTCTGTCTGTCGTCTGTCTGTTGGCGCGATAGCTCAAAAACGGCTTAAAAGAAAAACTTCAAATTTTGTATGCAGGCAAGGCTTCCTCTTGGCTCAAAACCGATTATAGCTTCGGTCAGATATGTACAAATTGAGCAGTTAAAAAAATATTTATTTTTAAAAGTCAGCAGATTTCGACTAAAATTGGTTTCTGATAAAAAATCGAAAAATCGAAAAATCAAAAAATCTAAAAATCTAAGAGTCGAAAAATCTAAAAGTCGAAAAAGAAATTCCGTAACGAAAATAAACCGACCGGCACAGAGGTGCGGCGTTGAACGCCGTGCATCGTCTAACGTCGTTTTAGTTCGGCAGACTTCGGCACAGTATTTGTGTGCGTGCGACTAGACGTATGCGTGTAGACTAGCTGCTAACTGCTCATAATTGATTCTATCTCTTTTAGACACAATTTCGCAAAAATTGAATTCGAAAATGAATAATGATCCACAAGGATCCAAAATATGGGACCACCATTGACGCGGTATTTTCCAGATATTTAGAGAATATCAAGTCTCAAAGTTATGTTTCTTATTTCAGTTACCATAAACCTATAGTTTCAATGATAAAACTTTCTGAATAACCTGCATGTATTGTAAGATAATAAAAATATTTTAAACAATATTAACATTTATTCAATAAAAGAAAAAAAAATGTTTTCTTATCGGTCACCACGCACAAAAAGTGTAACTTGAATTAATATCAAAGAAAAAAAAATACTGCATGAATAAATAAATAATTATAATTGCATTAATTGATAAAAAATGCATGCAATAGCTTTACCGCGGCAGTCCCAGAGTGCCACACGTATTTTTTTGCTACAGGGAATTAAAAATTTGTTTCTTAAAGAGAATTTTTTTAATATCTCTGAAAATAGTTTAGATATAATTTTCAGTTAATGTTAATAGGATATAAAACCACATATTTTAGTTAGAACATTTATTTTATTGCTCTACCAGTGGCGTCTCTGCAAACAGGTCATCTGATATTTTCTACAAAAAAATTAGTACACCACTGACATTTTTCCATGTTGATATTTTTACTCATTTGACTGGTCAATTCTACATCAATACAGCATGTTGTATTTTTCTCGTCAGCCACTCTGTTCTAGATTAAAATAGTTAAAATTAATCGTCAATGCTGCAAAATTAAGAAATTTAAATTTAATTGATGAACAATAAGATAAACACCACTGGTGAAGCAATAGAATAACTTTTTCGTCTAAAATATGTGGTTTTATATCCTAATAAAAATAAACAAAAATAAGGGGGAAATCTCAATCCATGGTTTTCAACAATACTATCTATGGCGTATACTTTTTTAAATTGTTTCGTCCGTAAAACTTTAAGAAGTTCTTCTTTCTTGAAAATACAAATCATTGTCCATTAGAAAATTTTGTATATCCGCTTTCGCCATTGTAATGAATGTACTCCTAAACAATCTGCGCTTGACTAACTCGTCGACAGTTAAACGATTCTTACTCAATTCAGTGCAGGTGGCCGGAAATACCACCGACAGGAGCGGACTAGGTTTGTGAATCAATTGTCGCGGTCTTTTTACGATGAATCTTAACTAACTTTTAGAAAATTAACTTAGTTCGTTGTACATTCTTTTTCTGATTTTTAAGATGTGAGATAAAGAGGTGGTGAAAAAAACCATGCAACTAAGCACACCCGAAGTTAGCCAAATTTTCTTGCATTTACGCCTTATGTTTGGAAATATCTCAAAAGGAGAGAAAGTATTACACGTATCTAAATATTACGTTGAATATTATAAATCAAAACAAGGTGTTGATGTTGCTTGAACAGCATTTTCTCGAGTTGTTTGAATTCTCTTATTGGGTGATGTGAATAAAAATTTGATGTCCAACACATTTCCTATCTAGTTATTACAGGCTTTTTCCGGTTATTTTGTACAATCTATATTGCAGCAACCGGAGTTGTTGTGTTGTAAATTGTAAAAATACTAGCAAAAAGAAACACTGTAAATTTGATAAATTTTCAGTAACAAAATAGAAATTAAATCAAAGAAAGAAACGTACCTATAATTGCAGTAAGAAGGGAAAAGTAATTACAAACCTTTATTTTTGTAAGAGTATCTACTCGTAATACCTATTGAAAATAGTAGACATCAGAAACCTGAAAGGTTTTATATATTTTTATAAATTGACTGCACCTGAAGATGGAAAAATTGTATTTTCCGAAACATATGTAGTGTGCTAAACAAGAGAAAATAAAAAAATTTGATTGATTAAACCAAGGAAATTTTTATTTATATAAAATTCTGCTACGGTCAAGACATTATCCTTATTCAAATGAATCATTTCATTTGTTTTATAAATCAATTTACTTTTAAGAAACCAAAAAATACATTTTTAAATTACGCATTTTATCAATAATAATAATAATACTGTCAATACACGCAAAATCGCTCTTTAGTACATATTTCGTTAGCGCTGCCGTCACGCACGGGGCGAATAGGTATGCCTATATCACTCTAGGGGCCAACCACGAGTTTTTTTGCTTGAATTGATTGCATGATTTTCTTAACGTGCCATTGATTGATATTTTTCTTAACAAAATTTAATTAAAATATAATAGAAAAGTGATATTACCTTCTCCTTTTGTTAACGCCACAGGCAGTGGATGATAATTGTGAGCAGTATATCGATTTTCTCTTTTTATAACATCTTGGGTGCTCAGTAAACGTTTGCTACTTTTAACATTAGCTTCTATTTTTCTAATAAGTCTTATAATTCTTCTAGAAGATGGTAACATAGTTAACAGTTAACTAAAAAAAAAAAATATCGGTTATGTTAAAAATCATACTAAAAACTTTCATAAAAGGGACAATACTTCAAACTGCAAAAAATGTTTTACGTTAATATACAGAACAAAATAAGAATTTGGTTCAGAAGATCACGACATATTATTTTATTAAGATTCGAGAGACGCTAAATTGGTGGTTCCCACCTTGTCGAGACAGGATAAACTCCTAGCGTAAAAAACGAGAAATTATTTGATTTGGAATGAAGGACCGAAAGCCGAAAGTAGTATAAAGACGTTGAATTTTCGGGTTTGTGAAGCATTGCCAGTACTCATAAGCCTTGATTTTTAAAACCATTCCATATCGCTATTTAATTAGGGTTTACAACTTGTTCGAACAATTTATCTAATAATAATTGGCCCCTTTACCCCTTAAGCCTGCTCAAGTAAAATATTCCTCCTTAATTCTTAAGCCTATTTATCTAAAAACATTTTGTCCCTTTTAAATCTGTCCATGTATTAATTGCTAAAGTTAGATTAAATAAACAATATTCTTTTCGATTTTTTTTTTTAATTTGGTGTCATCGGCGTCGACTACTACGGCCATTAGCCTCGTGTTCTGTGTAGGCTTTGTTACTGTTTCCCAGCGCCACTTCAGGAACAGCACTGTTAATTAGAACCCAACAGTGAATGGTCGAGTGGGGAATCCTACCAAGGCATCAGAATTAATTTTAAATAATTAAATTAAATGAAAAAATCCCGGCCAATCGGTTTTGATTCTTTTCGATTTTTTTCGATTCTTTTCGATACTTTTCGATTGTTTTCGATTCTTTTCGATTTTTTTCGATTCTTTTCGATTCTTTTCGAATCTTTTCGATTTTTTTCGATTTTTTCGACTCCAGGGAAAACTTTTGCCTTTTTAGATTGACAAGTTCTTCGAAAATGTCACAATTTCAGATGAAATAAAAACGGTAGAAATTAAAATAGTTTCTAGAGCGCAATGTACCATTTCTACAAATGGATAATTTAATTGATGTTTTCAAGCAATCTTTTCATGACTTAAAAGTATTATAAAAATTTCGTAATTTAATTTTATTAAAACGGACGATGCCAAAGAAGTTTTGAGGGATATTAACTCTTGTATAAAGTTTTACAAAAAATGCTAAAATTATTGGATAAAATTAAACCCCCATTTTAAATTACCATAAGCCGCCACTGTTCTGGTGTTTTATTAAAGATGGTGCAAAAGGCACCGCTACTTTCCATCCTTTTTGTATTATTCGCGTAAGATCCACATTTATTTTGTATTAAAACTATTATTTTGACTATCACACTTTAACTTACAAAAAATAGGTAACTACTGAATTGAAAATTGAATAAATAAAATATTTTAAATTACTTAAAAAAATTGTAATGATGTATTTGACAAGGTAACCCAGCTAGCACAGACACGTGATTTTCACGTGAAATATACGTCACATTTTACGTCGAAATCACCAATTTATGACGTGCTAGTCGTGATTATGACGGCAATATGTCACAGATCAAAGACGTCATACAGCGACGTGATAAACACGTCACCAGATAACGTGTTTAGACGTCAAAAAAACACCATAATATTCATTTAAAAATGTTTAATTTGTAAAAAAAAATGTTTATAAAAAACGTTTTATTTAAAAAATGTTTAATAAAAATATGTTTTGTTACTGCATAAAATTTCTGAATTGAAACATAGTAAGTATACTAACCTGAACTATTACAAAATAAACCTTACTTCTTAGAATATGTACTTAGAATGTATAAATTACAAAAGATTATATAGCAGTGTCCAGATATTCAACAAATCATTCCGAATATACAGGCTTGAAGCAGCTTCAATGGTATCCTTATTAAATTTTCGTTTCACTAAAACAAAAATATAATAGTTATAACTACCAGAAACTTACATTATTTAAATAAAATTTAAGCCAAAAAAATAGAGTTAGCAATGACCGAGAAAGACATAAATTGTTTTGCATTAAGATGTCACAAAAGTGATATATTTGATGGTTCACAACTTATTATTATATGCTAAACAAGATAAATAAAATCAGATCTGTTAGGAATGTGTATGTTTAAATTATCTTTATGAACGGTTTTGATTTAAAATCCTTAAATTTTTGTTTATATTAATGTCTACGTTAATAGTTAAAACAAAATTAGGCTAGCTACAGGCACCTTTACAATATAAAAAATCACTCACCTTCGGTAAAATATGTTCTATAAATAGGAAAGAGTCCAATTTTATCATTTTTTAAGCTCTTGTTAAAAGATTCTTGTTGTTTATAAGAACCTCATTTCATAGGATGTCGGCCACTTGGAACTTGAAGTGGTTTAATGATACTTCGGTGCTGTGCTTGTCAGCGTATTGAATTCCTATAAACATACTAAAAATAAACAACAATATCGCACTAAACTTCCTATATAACTACTTACCTTCAAAACACATAGAAAATCATACAATAAAAGAATGTTGCAAACACAAGTTACAAAAATAACAAAATGGCGTGAACCTAACCTGAGTAACCTGGGACAATGACATGACAGCTGACATTTCTAAACAGTGTTGAGATAAAATTTCATTTAAAAATGAAAATTCCCAAAAATCCCTAGATTTAAAATGAGAATCATAAATTTATTATAAACACTAAAGATACTTTTATTAATAAATAGAATGTAAAACAATAAAGGTATAGAATCGACGTGTACACATGCGCAGTTTAACGCCTCATTTCAGAACGTAACAAACTAGTCCATAAATAACGTCATAGTACGTCTTATTTTGGTGTCACAATGACCGCTAAATAAACCATGTTGTATAAATTACCTTCTATTTATTTAATAATGAATAACAAAAACTCGAAGTGCATTAATGACATAAATAGGTTTATTTTGTTCGCAACAACTGTGTTTACGTGTCAAATTGGTCCGAACCTTAGATAAAAGAGACCAGAGATATAACATACACTGGTGTTTAACCTGCGCAAATGTTGCCAATTTCTAAAGAAAGGTTAACGGAGTGGGGGAACTGGGCAGGGACTCGAACTCTGTGACAGGGACCGGACTTTGTTTATTAGCATCATAATGAACTATTAGATTTATTTAAAATATAGGTACGTTAAATGGAATTTTGTATTATGAAATAAATTTAACGTGATTTTTTAATATCAAACAGATGCCACGACATTTTATGTAAAGAGAAGACCTTTTATAGAATATTTCGTTAGCTATTATTTACTATGGACTTTTCTGTAAGAGACTACAGTAAAATGTTGAAATAGAATATTGTTAATCGAGTAAGAAATGGTACTCATTGTCTAAGAGTATTATAAAAAAGCATGTGCGCAGGCGAATACTGCAAATCAAACCTTGTGAGTTGAACATTATATTTTTTCTACGACTATCACATAATATTAAAATTTAGTCAAATTGAAAAAATGCTGTTTTGTATTATAACCTCAGAAAAAGATATATTAAAGCTTGTTTCTTTAGGAATATTAATTAATATAGAGGATGCGTCACATAAAACTCTAGAAATGTATATGTCTGAAACCAGATAACATTTTAAAATTTAAACCTATTAAAAGTCATTTGGTCGCTAGGAGTGGGTGATTATCGAAATAAATTATTAATCATTAATAATAATCGATTATTGTCGATCAATCGATTATTTTCAAACAATCTATTTTTGTTCGTATTTCCTTTAAAATAGACCACTTGATTATCTTTAAAAAATAAAAAAAAATAGATTAATTAAAAAGCCAATTAACCGATAAATCAGTGTTTACAAAAAATAATAAACGAATTATCGTTTATTTTAAATAATCGATTATTTTTAATTTCTATTTTTTTTTCGTATTTCCATTGAAACAGATTATTCGATAATCTTTGAAAAATCTAAAATAATCGATTAATCAAAAATAATCGATCAATTAAAAATTCGAATAATCGATAAATCGATTTTTCAAAAAAAAAAAAAAGAATTATTTCCTTTAAAATCAATTATTCGATCATTTTTGAAACATCGAAAATAATCGATTAACGGAAAATAACCAATTAATTAAGAAGATTCTACGATAAATCGATTTTCCAAAAAAAAAAAAAACTGAATAATTATTGATTATTTACAAATAATCCTTTTCTTTTTTTATATTCCTTTTAAAACTGATTAATTAATTTTCTTTGAAAAATCGAAAATAATTGATTAATAAAAAGCTGATTTACCGATAAATCAATAATTCTAAAAAATAACCGAAATATCGATTATATAATATAACCGATTATATTCGATCCATCGATTATTTTTATATAATCTATTTTTTGTATTTTAAAACAAATTATTCGAATACCTTTAAAAAATCGAAAATAATCGATTAATCTAAAATAATCGATTAATCGAAAATAATCGATTAATCGAAAATAATCGATTAATTTAAAAAGTCTATTAAACAATAAATCGATTTTTCTAAAAAATCGATTATTTTCAATAAATAGAATATTTTGAATAAATCTACTCTCTTTTTGTAATTCCTTTATAATCGATTATTCCATTACCTAAAAAAAATTTATTAAAAATGTTCGATTAATCAAAGATAATCGATTAATTATAACGGATAAATCGATTTTCATGAAAACGATAAATCGATTATTTTTGTAACCCCTATCGGTCGCATGCTTTTATCAGAGCATTTAGCTCCAAAATTTAGAGAGTTGTTTAGGGGTTTATAATGTAACATTTTACTAATAATATGACTAATTTCCGTAACTTTAGTATTTTTTGCTTATACTAGATCATATTGCGCGTTTTACTTTGTTTTAAGATTTAAGATTCAAATGTCACTTCCGATTTAACCGCAAATAAAATAAACCTTGAAATTTTAAGTAGGTGAACCTGTATTTCATCTAATATTCTTGTAAAAATATCTAATAAAGGGCTAAAAACCACTTTTAGTAAATATTCTTATAAAACTACTTTTTAAAAACAAAATTTCGTTAGTAACAATGCCTATGTACTTCTTATTTAGATTAAATATTTATTGAAACCCCTTAATGCGGATCTGAAGTATTCAGCTCAAAGAATCATGGCGACTTTATGTCAAAACGTCAACAAATATTTACCGCTGAAAACGAATATATTTCTTATTTTTAATACCATTGACACATATTATTTGTATATACAATTTTTCACCATACATCGTAGCATTTTCAACTTGAAATTGAATAACTAAAACACTTTAAATTGCTAATAACACCAACAAATAATTCAAAAACGGCGGTCCATAAATGATTTACTCACGCGGAGACAAGCAAAGAATAGAAATTTCGGAGCAATTCGGGTGGCGTCGTGAACACAATGATTTTTAATTGGTGGGTTACTTAGGTTTGGAATAGACAACATGCGCAATGTGCAATGTTACATCTCCGGTCTCTTTTATCTAAGGTCCGAACCCATACAACACACCAAATCCCAGAGATATCCGCAGAATATCTTTTGTGGATATCCAATATATCCACAGGATATCAGAAATATTCGGTAGATCTAATATGGATATCCAAATGTCCGTTTATATCCAGGATATAGAAGATATCCTAATGGATATTCAGCAAAATATCTAATGGGTATCTTCCAGAAAATACAAGAAATCACAGAGATATCCACAGAATATATTTTGTGGATATTCAATATATCCAATATGGATATCCTACCAAATGTCTATATCCCAGGATATAGAAGATATTCGGATATTCACCAAAATATTTTATAGATATCTTTAGTAGAGGTTCATAAGTCACCAATGATTATTGAATAACGTCGAAAGAAAATAGCAGAGATTAAAAATATTTTCAACACTCTGCCTTTGATTTTGGCCACTAAGGAGAAAGTCATCCTTATTAGGACTCTTCAGCAATAGATGGAAATTCTCGACTCCAGCCTCTAATGGAGTCTGTAGGACAAAAATTTCGATCGAACTCTATTACGGCGGGTCGAGCATGAGTAGATGCGATAGTGGTATCGCCATCTATACTTAGTAAGCAGAATCAAATAACATCTAGTGGATATCCACGATGGTTTGCGTTCGCGCCTAGACTTTAATATATTTAGTGGATGTTCATGGGATATTGAATACACCTTAAAAAAATTAATTTTAAATATCTGAACGGTACTATTAGCCACAATGGCGAGAACAATGGCGTAATTTTTTAATAATTTGTTATATAATTACTATTATTTATGGACATTTGCATGTCTATAAATTACATCTCATGGATATAAAATATATATCTACCATGGACTGGACATTCAGTGGATATTGGGATGTTCAGTAGATATCCAAAGGATTTGGTGTGCTGTCTGGGAAAATGACGTCATTATTACGTTACTTTTGCGTCAAAAAATCACATCGACGTATTTGACCAAAATTCAACGTGAT